GTGCATCGTCGTCTGATCTCATCGCCACATCCTCCAGTGCTTGTATATTATAACCGAGGTAAATATAGTTCTGTACCACTTTACAATTGGCTATATTGTGTACATTGGTTCCAAATTGTTCGGCTCGGTCTACTATCATCATCTTCGTCTTGTCTCGGTGTATAGCAAGTCCGAATTGGAGACTGGTACGTTCTAAACGGATTAGAAAAATTTCCATGTCTTCTCTAGTCTGTGCGAGAAGGGTAGTATCAACAGCGTATCTCAGGTAATTTATCACGTGTCTCCCAACAGATGTTCCTTTGTCCCAATATTCTTGGACAATGCGCATAATATACTCTGTCTAGGTGTTAAAGAGTAGTGGCGATAAGATGCATCCATGTCGTACACCGGCCACAGTCTTGAATTCAGTCGAAAGGGTATCATCCACTCGTACCGCTGCAGTACCGTTCCCATACAACCCCCTGAACAGAAGTATTAAATGGGGTTGTACGCATTTCCGCAAGTATCTTCCAGAGGTGTGTCCATATGATTATGTCAAAAGCTTTCGGAAAGTCCACAAAGCAGATGTAAAGGGTTGTATTGAATTCTCTGGCCTTCTCAATAACCTGACGCAATATATGAAATTTGTTCATGTATGCCTCTTCCCTTCACAAATCTGGCTTGCTCGGGTGCGATTTCCCTTGCGAGGTGGGCCAGCAGCCTTTTTTTTTATTACGCAGGTAAAAAATGCTATTTACAGACGACGGCGCCTTTAAGAGGCACACCGCCGAACGGACCTCACACCTGGCTTCCGCAAGTCTTACGGGCGCCCCAGTGGCTGTCCACTGAGGACCCCGCAACTCTTACGGGCGCTTTACTGCATAATATCCGCTAAAAAAGTCCTGCGAATACCCTCTAAGCTGCTTAGCGCGAAGCCGCGGGATCCCCGTTTAGGGATTCCTCCGTGTCTCCGCACCTAGCAGCCTCCCGGCCTAGCCGGGCCTCCACGGCAGGGGTCTCCCGAGGTATCACGGGGACCCCGCAGACGTGCGCAGGTAGGCCCGCGCGTGGGGGTTGAGTACGCGGCCTAATGCCCACCGTACCGCCCCTCGTCCGCTGCGGAGGGCTACTTGGGCGTGCCCGTGTAGCTCCCTCCGCCGCCCCCCTCTTTGCAGGACAGAACTACAAGGGGGGGCTGCCGTCACGAGGTCCGTCGGTGGCCGGCACAGCCAACGCCATGCCGGTCAGCGAGGGACCCCCCGGGTAGGGTCATGGGACGGGCGCAGCCAGGGCGCGTCGCCGTCTTCTCCTACCCGTCCTCCTTCGGCGGGAGGGAGCGGCCAGAGGATCATCCTCCCGCTCCCTCTCGGCCGCCTCCCATGTCCTGTCACTGCGGAGCATGGCCTCCACCATGCTCCGCAGCGAAAGGGCTCCGCATCCCAGCGCCGCAATCAGCTCACGGCGCTGGTGTCGCCAGGCCGGGCACTCCAATAAGGTGTGCTCGGCCGTGTCGTCCGGGACGCCGCAATGATGACATTGCGGCGTCTCCTCCCGACGTGCGACACGGTGCAGATAGGGACCGAAGCATCCATGCCCGGTCAAGATCTGCACCATGCGGAACGTGAGGCCGCCGCGCCGGCGACCCAACCATTCCTCCAACACCGGACGAATGGCTTCAATCGTCCGGTGGCCGGCGCTAGCATGGGCGAGTGCCTCATCCCATCGCCGCAAAGCTTCGCTCTGGGCGATGGAACGGACCTGCCTCAGCTCTGCTGGGGCAAGTCTTTCACCTCGCTCCCTGGCCTCGACCCGACCTCGATGCATTTCTGCCATAACCAGCGCATCGAGGTCCCACGGCGTCGCGCCTGCGAGCACGCAGGCGGCGCCGTGGCTGACCGTGCGGTACGCTCGCACGGCCCGGGTCGCGATGACCCTCTGCGGACGTCGCAAGAGGGCCCTCGTGCGGGGTTTGAGGCACTCAGCCCAAACCGGAGCTCCGTAAAGTGCCATCAGGTGGGCCAGCAGCCTGGTATTAATTATGTGGAGCATCACCTTACTTGCATGAGATATCAAGGATATGAGTCGGTAGTTGTTACGTTCCTTGGTAGACCCTTTTTGTGCAATGGAATAAAAATGGATTTCTATTCAGGCCATATTCCAGTCTCCCATATTTTACTGCAGATGATATGTAAGACTTCAACTCCAGATTCACCCATTGCCTTGACAACCTCGATCGGGATTCCATCACAACCTATGACTTTATTGCATTTGAGGTGTTTAATTGCTGCTCGTACTTCGTCCCGCATGATGTCAAACTTGGTGTAATGATTGGCAATATTCCCTCCACACATTCACAAAATCTCCGTAACCGTTGTTCCGGCGGAGTCTTCAATAGCCCATGTCTTAGGTTTAAATTGGCGTGTTATGTATCGCACTTTATCATGCAGATCTTTGGTTTGATATTTATCGGAGTGCTGTTCCAGGTCATCACATATCTTACAATTAAAAAAACGAGCGAGCCTTACAGTAAGTCGCGTATGATGTGTAACATTTGAAACCTCACCTTGTATTAGTAAAAAAATAAATAAAACCTACTACAAATGGAATAAGCTATATGAACATTATGTTCTAAAATCAAATCTAATAGCGCGCTTTCGCGACTTCCTGTTACATACATACTTCGGTCCCATTTCACGAAATCGCTCCCAGAAATTGCAGGAAAGCGAGAGGAAAGATGTTACATATCAAAAATTTACCGCTTGTTTAATTGACATGTAGTCATACCATATTGCCATCACAAAGGAACTGACATCAACAATTTAAAATCAAACCTAATAAATATTTTACCACGTTCGACCGTTAGTGTAAAATAATAAGTTGGTTTATTAAATGTTGCCAGGTATTAGGTACGTTCGGACAGTTTCGAAGGAAAACCAGAGGGGGAAAGGGGGAAATACAATATCGTGCGGGTGCCTAGCTGCGAGCTTAATTGACAGATCAACTGACAGTTCTCGAGAATTTTGCTCTAACTCAGACAGATCTCGGAATTGGAAATTTTTTCTTCATTTGTTTTTATTTATTTATTACTTCGGAGTAGAGTAGTGTATGAAGGAAAGATAATTAGGTATGGCTACATGCCTGTATAAGGACGTTCTGGAGCAGTCGTAACGTGAACGTGTATCGTTTAGTACTGGTCGCCATTTAAGTTTTTTTAATAAAGGAACGCAATCTAAATATTCCAACTCAAATAACACATACATTCACACTTTACACAATTCTTTCTCTTCTCTGACATAATTCTTTTTCATTCTTTTGATTGAATTACAAAAAAAATCTTCATCATCTTCATAATCAGGCGATGACCGTTCAATGCTAGACAAAGGTTTCCTCAAGGGATTCCCAAACACAACGCTTCTGTGCTTTCCGCATCTAGTTGCTCTTACGGTTTATTAACGTAACACGACGCCAATTTGAGCAGGTCTGTCTAGTCGGCAAGCCAAGCCAAGCCACCGTCCATACAGCCAGCCACCCATACAGCCTAGATGGCCATCATTAGTCTATGCAGCTATGATTTGAAACCCTTCCACCGGACCTCTGTTGGGGATAAGCCATAAGGTCGTGTATGGTGATATTTGGTCTCTTGCTACGATATAATTGCCTCTGCCCCATTGAATTAAAGAAGTGTGTTTGCTCCAGTGATGTTTTTATTTACTGTTTTAATCCCAAGCTCATTTTACATCTTGGAAGATAGCATTGTTAAATCTACATTTTTTTCTGTGTCGATTAAAATAGACTTTCATAAAGCGATGCTTGTTACCTCTACTATAGACCATATTATTCGTCCATGCTTCCACTTAGCTCTCATTGTTATGAACGCCCCGTGAATATATTAAACGGTCGGTCTTATAAGCTTCAGTTTCGGAGACATATGGGGATCTAGCTAATACAATAAGCATGTCTGCTGGCCTGTCAGGGCTCAGGGTAACAAATGGGCGGCCGTCGCCGTTGACCCCCTGTCGACGGCTAATCTGTGCCCATCAATCTAACCGTGTCGCTGGGGCGATGTGACGTTACTAGCACCCGCACGGTGTCGTACTTAAGACATGATTATTACCGAAAAAGTCTGTTCTCTAAACTTATAATTACCTAAATTGAGAAGAGTGTATCCTCCTCTTGCTTTTTAACAAATGAAAAGAAGAGAAGGTTGTTAGTTTTAGGTTTAGAGAATCGAGTCAGAATAACAGCATGCCAAACCGGGTAAACGCGGTAATGGAAGTACGAGGAGGCAATACGAATTATTTTTCTTTATGCATTTTTTGTAAATAAAATGTGGTAACTCATAAATTATATTACTTTCGTTTAAGGAGTATTTAATTGTCTATTAAACACAATTATTTAATTAACCTAGTATTCTTAGTTTGCGAGATTTTTAGGACTCTTTATGTGACCCGGATTCATTGCTCTCGAGTGTATAATGGTAATTTTTCTATGCAAAAGGGGTGAAAAAAAGGGAATGGCTCGCCTGATGACAAGCAGCCACCATAGTCTCTAGTCATCATCATCATCAGCCTATTCATGTCCCCACTGCTGGGGCACAGGCCTTCCCTATGGATGGAACAGGCAATTGGACCATGACCCACCACTCGGGCTCGGTGTGGATTGGCGGGTGCTAACGACTGCAGATGCAACCGGGACCAACGGCTTGACGTGCCTTTCGCAGCATGGAGGAACTCGAGATAGAAGATTTTTGGTCAGCCACCCAATGGCCGACCACTGCGAAAGTTGCTTAACTACAACGATCGCATTGAGCTCTTAATACTCAAATGTCATTAAAACCACATAATAAAAAAAAAACAAAGAAAAGTTTACCAGTGCGCTCATTATAATATTAAAATTTTCTTAAAATAGATCTCGCAACTCATAATATTTTGGCGCGCTATCTGTAACGGCCTAGGCAATGGGACTAGCGCTGGTTTTATCGCATATTCAATCGATCCTATTGATTAGATTGCTGACTATTGAAAAGCGTCAGCTCCCATCTATGTGCACAGTACCATTTTGCACGCAAACATGGCGCCGCGGCTGGAATTGCCTTACGATATAACTAGAGTGACGCCCGAAGAAGATAGAATCATCAAGAGGTGTCTGAAAGGTGCGTTGTGTACTCAGTGTTACGTCTGTGCGATTTTAACAACGAAATTATTTTAAGAAAAAAAGTGATTTACTTTTTTAAAAGTTCGGTTTACTGAACAACGCAAAAGTTTTGATAAATAGGTAATGTGTTCTTTTTTCAAAAAAAAAAAAAAACAATTTCGGAAGCAGGAATTGTTAATGTTCTAAAATTAAAGAAACGGTGAAGTATGCTCTTATTTTGAACAGAAGTTTTTAAGAACCTACGAGGTAGGTATAGGACGTTCTTAATTTAAAAAGTGAATAACGATTTTTTGAGTTTTTATTAAAAAACCTTTTTTTTTGTACTTGCTTCGGCAGTACATATACTAAAAAACCTTTTTTTTTACTTTATGCCAAGTGTGATCCGCAATCCTGTGAACCTTTTTTTAAACCGTTGTGTAAGCATTCAAGTAAATATTTTGTATATAATCTTCTCTAATATATAAAATTCTCGTGTCGCGGTGTTTGTGGTTAAACTCCTCCGAAACGGCTCGACCGATTTTCGTGAAATTTTGTGTGCATATTGGGTAGGTCTGAGAATCGGATGTATTTTTCATCCCGCTAAATGTTAAGGGTACCCCCCCCCCCCCACCCCATTTTTTGTTAATTTAAGATATTTTTTTTTATATTTTTTTATGATACATCATACAAAACTACATACAACCCTTAATTTTCACCCTTCTACCACCAACCCCTATTTTTTTATGGTGGTACGAAGTTCGCTGGGACAGCTAGTATTATTTATAAATTTCTTCATTCATTCATTTGAAAACATCGTAGCTACAAAGATTATTCGCATTCTTGATGATAAACTGTGACAAGCCTAAGCGTATTAAAGAGCCGTATCAAACATATATTTGGGCGAATCTTGCGATATGGATTATTCAGTTGATTCCCTTGCCATAATTAATTTTTTAACACTTTTTTATACAAGTAATAAGGAAACCAAAAATTTTTTTTCCATATGGCTTCGCACGGTTTGTGCATTTAGCCAATGTCAAGTGTAAAATGTTTTCATATTTTATAGAACTCGTGGTCAAATCAAAGTAAGTGGCAGTCAAGTCAATACCCCTTTCCCTATGTTTCAGTAAATGTGTGGGGATTTACTGGAACCTCCCCGTGGACTTCTTGACGGAACGTCGAAAGACACTTTCCGCTATTTTGTTTCACTTGCCAACACTTGTGCATGTTTCCGAACGCCTAGTGGTTAATAATCCACCATTATTAGACACTAACATCCGCCACAACACAATTTTTAACAAGAAAAACAAAACTGTTAAAGTGACGCTTCCCGATCCCGCCAAAAAGTCCTCATTATACTTGTTATAAGCATATTCATCGAATAGGCATCACCTTTGGCATTGGTTCCGAAGATAAATCAAGTTACATTTTGTGTGCACACGAAATACAGCAAGATGGGAATCAAAATGATAGTAATACATATGTATGTAAAAATATTTTCTTTTTACTACAAAACTAATCCGCCTTTTATCCTTTAATAATAATAAAATATACTGAAATCTACAGAAAACAACTTAAAAAAAAACTTAAGTTTTAGTAAAATTGTTTTTGAGCACGCAATGCTTTTTGCATAGATAAATGATTGGCTTTTTGTATAATAGTTTATTTTATACTTTTGAGCTCGATATGCTTTAAAAACGTGTTAACAAGTATATATTTATGCGACAACATCTTTTAATGGAAATTGTAAAAGTAACTAAACAAATGTGTTGTTCTGAAAACAAAGATTTTATTTTAGTTTAAACACTTAGTATTCACACCACTTTTTACTATCTACTATAAATCATACTAACCTTAACTGAAAACAAAGAAATGACGTTAAAAGTCTTTTACATATTACAACATTTCCTTCCTCTACAATAATATTTTAAAATAACCAAATAAACATATTACGGCTCGTTCTGTTAAAGCGACACCATCTATGAACTGACAGTTTTATATTATTAGGGTCGCCCGACAGCTATACAAACTAACAAATTAAAGAATTGACTGTAAGGAGTTCTTTACATATTTTTAAGAAATAACACAAAACAAATTAAGAAAACGTTGATTACCTTGGTGAAATACCAAGGGTATCAGCACTAATGTAAAAAAGGTATTGTGTTAACACCAACCAAAAAATCCTAAATATCTAATAACATTTTTAAAAGTGGCCAGGGTAATTAACAATCTAGTGAAACATAAGCAGGGGTATCAAATGTTTACCTTCGTAATTTTGTTCTGGACCAACGTGCAGCAAAGCACACCCCAGCAATGTGTGAAGCGCTACTAGAGCTTACGCAACAAATTGGAAGCACTTCTCTAAAACATTTCACAAGGGGTATACGCGACGTATTTTGACGCGCCAGTGGAATAATCGTTAAGCTCCAGACAGACTTTATATTCTAACTAGCGGCCCGCCCAGTCTACACTTCAGCTCTACAACGAAGCGAAGCGACGCTTCGGTGTAGAGCTGAAGTGTAGACTACAGTTTTTGTTCTCAGGCTTGTATTATACACAATGACATTCGTCTATGATTCTTCTTATACCTGCATGCAAAGTCTCATCCCGATCGGTTTAAAATTGACAAAGTTTTATACAAACTTTCACTCCCTATTTTATCCCCTTGGGGGTAGAATTGATCAAAATCCTTTCTTAGCGGATGCCTACGTCATAACATCTACCTGCATGCTAAATTTCAGCCCGATCCGTCCAGTGGTTTGGGATGTGCGTTGATAGATCACTATGTCAGTCAGTTACCTTTGAGTTTTATATACATAGATTCTAAATAAAACTAAAGAGAAATACATACACTTTTTTTTTCATAAATCAATAAATATTAAGCTATAGCTTAAACCGCGTTAAATATTCAATTTCCGTTCGTAAGTTGGTGTTTTGATGGACGTTTGTCTACAAAATGTGAACCGGACGCGCCAGGGGATGACAAATATTAGTCCTTTAGGATATTTTTTACTATTTCTACCTAAATAAGACACAATTATTATCGTGCTTTACTTAGATCATACATTATCTATATATATAAAACTCAAAGGTGACTGACTGACATAGTGATCTATCAACGCACAGCCCAAACCACTGGACGAATCGGGCTGAAATTTGGCATGCAGGTAGATGTTATGACGTAGGCATCCGCTAAGAAAGGATTTTGATCAATTCTGCCTCCAAGGGGATAAAATAGGGAATGAAAGTTTGTATGAAACTTTGTCAATTTTAAACCGATCGGGCTGAGACTTTGCATGCAGGTATAAGGAGAATCATAGATGAATGTCATGGTGTATAATACAAGCCTGAGAACAAAAACTGTAGTCTACACTTCAGCTCTATACCGAAGCGTAGCGAGGGCGGGCCACTAGGGCCCACTTGCACGTTCCAGTGTTAGTTTATTTACCTCCGAGTTAACTATTGAACTGGGGTTAAAAAAAATTTTTTTCTTGCACTGCCCTGAGTTAACACTAAAGCTTAGGTTAAATAATAAAATAATTAACCCGCCAAAGTTGGAGGGTTAAATTGCTAACTCGAGATTTAAAACGTCAAAATTGTTATTATAGGCTGTGTTGTTTTTTTTATTTGAATAAAATATCGCGTAGCAGTAAACTGTCACTACTTGTAAAATTCGGGGGCACGTAAACGAGATTTCTTCTTCATTTTACAAAATATAACCGCACGAAATTGTTGTCACAAAATACAAACTTACGAGACAGATAGGTACTTTAAAAACACCATGCAATCGGTATACAAACAACTATTTGACAGACAAAATACAGGACGCCATTCAACTTAAACGCACAAAAACACCACGTCTTTTCAAATTGGACATTACGAAAGAGATATATGCAAGATACTGTTGTGTGAAAGGGAGAACAATACTTAAGTCATTCATCATTCTCTCTTTTTGTTGGGTTAGTAAACCCTAGATTATTTTCTGTTCGTGCAAGATAAAGTCTGAGTTAAGAAAATGTTATATTAACTTTGAGTTAGTAAACTCGCAGTTATTTTGATATCTCAAGATTTACGTGCAAGTGGGCCTAGTAGTAGCATAAAAAAATAAATCTTTGTTTTAACTTAACGGGTACTTTTTCCTCCGGACAGCGAAAGTAGAGCCTGTCAAGATTCACCCATTTCAGATAACGTAATGAAGTTTACGTTTTTTTTATAAGCGGAAGAAATTGATATTATAATTATTCTATGAATGGATAATTCAGATAATTGTAAGTAGGTAATTACTGAATCATTATTATGACGACACATTATCCATAAATAAACAAAATCAGTGCATCTAACCCGTTAAAACTTAGTTTATTCAATGAGTGATGTCCGTGAAAACCTAAGAAATTAAAAGTATTAGTTGAAAGCGACTGTATGGTTTTGGATTCCTACCTCTCATAGACGATACATATTGACGTTGGGGACAATGTTATCGCAGATACGACAACTCACGCAGAAACCATAAAACACATAGTGGCTACAATCTAGTTTTATGATATAATAATTGTTAGTTTTTTATGTAAGTTGTAGTCTCATGGTCATATAGAATAACTAACTATGAAATCGATAAATAAGATTATGGTAGTTTGTTATCTGTGACGCGTGAAAACATGTTAGCTTATCCAGATTATAGCGGCCGTCTGGGAATCAGGGAATTAGAATATTTGTTTCTTACCGTTATACCGTTGAAACTCGTTTTATTTAGGGAAATACTAATTTAAATAAATAAAATTTACAATAAAACGAACAATGTAAAAATATCAAAAAAGAAATTATTTCTTAGTAATCTATATATATGTGTATAAAACTCAAAGGTGACTGACTGACTGACATAGTGATCTATTAACGCACAGCCCAAACCACTGGACGGATCGGGCTGAAATGTGGCATGCAGGTAGATGTTATGACGTAGGCATCCGCTAAAAAAGGATTTTCATCAATTCTACCCCCAAGGGGATAAAATAGGGAATGAAA